GGGGAGGTGACAATGGCAGCTTTTATCTTGATGTTGATTTTGCTCTTTTCCTTCCGGGCTTGTCTGGTTGTTTCTGAGCCTTTTCTGTGGGTCCCCACTGGAAGATGCTTTAGACTTGTGGCAGGCTTTGGGGCCTTGCTCTGGGCCAATCCCATATGGATGGACTTTTACCCACGAGGGGACGGGTAGCTTTGGGTGCTTTATTTAGAAACTAGACTCTTTGCCTTTCCTGTATTGTTACCTAGTTTTATTAAAGTTCCTTCCCATTAAAGTCTCATGTTTTGTGTTGATGCGGCGGATGGCAGAACCCATTTAGAATAGGCAGGTTTGCGGGGTTTGGGCTGCCCCTCTCCCTGTCCTATAACAACTGTATTTAAATTGTCCATCAGTGGGGGAACACCAGTTTCTAAGTTATCTTTAAGTGAAATCACTTAGAATGCCTCATGTGCCTTCTTTTGCTACATTAAAGTCATTTCAGATATCCACTATATTTTTGAAGGGAGTCGGAGATGGGGCTCCAAAAGATTCAATGGCCAAAGCATATTTAATGAAGGATTTAGAGGGAGAGAGAACAAAAGTTTTGTTTTCATGCGCTATCTGAAGCCAACGCCTGTAGTCACCATACAAAAGGGAGATCAATATTCACAACAAGTGTGAGAGACCCTGAATTCCTAGGTGAACAGTGGAGTTTTCAGGGAGACTCAGTGCACCAGGGAGGGGGTGCACTGTGGATTCAAGTGCCTTCTACATAGCTGAGAAAATAGTCCTGATTTCAGAAACAACAATAGCAACAAACAACAGGAGGATCTGCAAATTCATACAGTAACTCACACTGCCTCTGGTTTTCATTCTATCAGTCCCCCCCAACAATTTCACACTTTTGCTTACAGTACCTATAGGGTGGGTACCCCACTGGGAGACAAATGCTAATGACTCCCTCAGCTCTCCACTTGGTGATTCACTTCTGCTGATAAGAGAATTCTCACCAGACTGGAGGCAGAAACCTCTGTCAAAACCTATCCTGTCACACCTCATCTTTAAAAGCAAGCCTCTCTGAGATACAACACTTACATTCCCTTTGTATGTTTTCTTTTTCTTTTTTAAATTAGAACATCTGTGCCCAAGATCATCAGTTTGATTTTTGAAGTTGGAAGTAACTGTCTGCATCATCCCTGTGGGTTGTTTCTGGATAAAGGGAATTGTATGACTGCTGAACTAATTTTTGAGTTATTTAAGCATGCCAAATGATGCGGAAACATAGGGGAGTGAAATGCTTTGTGAGGCAGGAAGAGACCAGTCAAGTTTTCTACCTTGCAGTAAGGTATCATACAACTATCAACCTGTAGGTGACTGGTACCAGTTTTTAGGAAGGGAGAAAAATGATACCTTGTTCTACTCCTGGCAATCACGCTACAGTATTCAATTGATAAATATCTGGACATGTGAGTTAAGTCCAGTTTACTTCTATCAATGTACTTGTGCATTTTCTTTAATTTTTGTAAAGATAAATTAAGAAAATGGATAACAAATGGATATATTGCCATTGATGTTTTGAGCCACAAGAGATTTTTAGAGATTATCTCTCCAATCTCTCACTTTATAAATGGGGGTATAAGGCCCACTTTTAAGAGTTAAAGTAGGTTAGATGTACTAAATGAAAAGTGAATTTTCTTTCATAACTTTTCTTACTAAAGTGTGAGTTCCATGAAGGAAAAAATGTGTGATATCCCTATTATTTTCTATTATCTGTCTGTCTATTTTCTATGTATCTATCCATCCAGCCATTCATCACCCCCCTCCATATATGCATATTTATACATGGATATATATAAAGATATGGAAGTATATAGTCTATATACTATAGTTTTATATGTACACACACACACACACACACACACACACACAAAGAGAGAGAGCAAAAGAAAAACATAGTAAATGTGGAATGGATCAATGACACTGAGGCACAGTGCTTTCCAAGATCTCAAAGAATTGGTAGAAGTGCCCAAGTGTACTCTACATGTTTTCAGTGTACTCTAAAATGTTCTTAGAATTTTTGTACTTAGAACACAGTAAAATGGTCATGTGCCAACAGCAGTTTGCATTTGGAAACCTGTGCTTTATCTGTTAACCAACTAATTAAGTAGTAATTTATTTCTTCAAATAAAAATTTAATTTCAAAGTAAAGTCTTGAGAAAATGATCCTTATAACATGTTTTCCCAGTAAAATAATCCTATTTTTAGTCCATACTATAAAACACTGTTTTCTCTTTTCTTGTGAAGATATTATTTCTAGGAAAGATATTTTAGTATGAGAAATAACCATCACATCATGATCCATTATTTCTTAAAATCTAGTAATTGTAGGTCAAACCATTACTTGAAAACAAAAATTTATGTACACAGCTGTGCTGCAGGAAGGGAATCTAGCCTGTTTGGTAATTATAGTTTACAATCTTCTCTACTTGTTTTCAAGAACAAAATGGTCCAAGATTTTCTTTCTTTCTTTTTTTTAATTTCTTCCTCTCCATCTATAAGTACAAGCACCTCTCTGAATAATCTGGAAGGTGATTTCTTGGACCAATTGGTTTATAGGTGACCATAACATGAACAAGTAACTACAAATGGTGACTTTATACCATTATTAGTGACTCTCAGTTCCACAAACAGATACCCCAGCCATTAATGTGCAAATATGCTAGCCCTACCAACTTTCCTCATTGATTGATGTGAATAATAATCAATGATGCTTCATAACTGCAAATATGATAGAGAATACATTCTGAACTATAACTGTTATTTCTGTATAAAATTAAAATCCCAAATAAAATGACGACTATACAAATCATCATTATGTTAGTCTGAAAATACAGTATTTATCCACTACAATGTGTCTTTTTGAATAAACCTTGTTCCTTAAAATGGTAAGTCGGGGTAAATATTTATATATTTGAGAACTTTTCTTTTGTCTCAAACAAAAGAATACCAAAATAGAATATTGATTTTGTCTTTCTCTTCATAAACATACTAGGAATAAGAAATTGGGATTTTGATTGCCCAGTTTTTATCCTCTTGGTAACAATACAAGGAAAGTAAATTATAATTCCTTGAAAGCTGGTAGATAATATGATAGAGGGAAGAAGAGAAGAGGTGGAGGCATTCTAGCATCTGGAACCACTGTATTTACTCTGAAAAGCTAATGAAAAAGTTAAATTTTCCAGCTATGCAGTGTTTCAGAGATAACTACAAAAGGATAGAAACAGAAGTATTCATATTTGGTTGCTGCAAGCACTGCATATTACAGGAGATTAAGGGCTGTGATATTTGTATACATGTATAAATCATCTGAAAAAGTCAATTCTGCAATCCAGGAATTCCCTCTTCAGGAAGTAAATAAATCCATATTCAAATACAGTCAGCATTCAAAATCATTCAATAATATCTTATTCACATTTCAGAAGAAACATTCATCCTTTGTTAGAGTAGACTTTTAGTGGAGATAAGCACACACACAAATACACATACACAGTAATTCACATCATATCTATTTTCTATCCTAGATGAAAGAGGAAAGCAGGTGAAAACTCTAATTAAAAAGATTCATTAAAATAAGAGAAACTATATTTTCCAAATTTCACTCATTAACAACCTATGATAATTGTCAAAATCTACTTGACTTTGATTTGCAATCTCTTTATACAAGTGGTACATCTGTAAGACATTTAATATTGTTGCAAATAATAATGTCTTTTAAAATGGTGTTTATTTCTGCTTATTTTCCTTTCCAACATTTCTTCTCCCTGAGTTCACGTACTTTTTTTCTCCTTTCTAATTTTTCATTCGTTGTGCTAGCTCTATCTAAAACTGCCTAAAAATCCAAAAGAAAACAATTTTAAAGACATTATACTAGTTCCAAAAGATAAATTCATTTGACACAGGCAAATTTGACCAAAATCACAAAATACGGCTTCTTCAGAGCACTTTTGCAAAATATGGCAAGGGATTGTGCATTGAGTGCAGAAATAGCTACTGACAGTAAGTTATGTTCCTTGCCTAAGTTTCCACTACTTTCTCAGGCGCACTCAATAAGAGGGGCATTAATAATCATATTAATGTAAGAAATAAATCGAGTTTTGGTGAGGTTAGAAACTTTCTAAGATCATATACATATAGTTTTTAAAATGGAAAGATAGGATTAAAAACCAGAGTGTCACTTTCTCTAAGATCAATATGACTACTCTGCTGTCTTCCAAAACAATGAAGCCAGGGAGGCCAAGCCCTCACTGAGGTCCAGGGGTAGCAACTGGATCCCTTGACTGCACACACCCCATGATGGCAAAGTCAGACCAGACAATCCTCGATTGTTTCTTCTATTTTGCTTTGACTTATTTTCAGCCCTGAGCCACACTTGAAATAAGGAGATGCTTCTATAAAACTGATTTTTCCATTACACTCCTTATCTTCAGTAACACCTCCTGTGATTTAATCTTTTCAAAAAAGTTATATTAGCCTTCCAGGCCCAGAAAATGTTAACTACTGGGTAACACCATTTCAGGAGTCTATCTCATTGGACCTCAAGAATGGTCTTCAATGTCTGTGCTCATAAGGGAAGAAGAATGACAATGAAATATTCCATTCTCATTAAGATTTCTGCAAACAAAATCCCTCTATCCCATCTCATTCAGTTGTCTTACCCATTCTTAATTTAATTGTTCTGTCTAGCACATTATGTCTTATACTGGTGAGTATAAATAAAATAGATGTCTTTGTTTCCTGGTGAAATAGCCTATAGCCATTGTAACATTTAGAAAATCAAGTGTACTAGAAGAAAACAAATCCATGCTTCAATTCATTTTTAAGCATGATGTTGAAGATGTGGGCTCAGTAGGCTTACTCACCGGGCTGCTCTGGAACATTTCTTCCTGTGGCAGCCATAGTCCACTCAACATGGGGAATGGGAAGGTTGTGTTGGTAATGGAATAATGAACATCTCAATGACTTACCCTTGAATTCACCACTTCCAGGGAGACGTTCTGAGGCGGGGCACTAGGCACTAAAAGGAATACAACGAAGCAAGATGGTTACTGCTGAAGTCACTTAAGAAACCCCAACTCTCTTTGAAAAGTGAAAGTATGTCTTTTTCAAAATGTATGATGAAATGGTAGGCTCATCTGGGTGGCACTTCAAAATTTTCTGAAGAGATGAAAAATAACTCCATTTGTTGATTTTACCTCACTGGGATGGTGGGTCATCCATCTAGGGAGCCCCCAAAATGTTTAGGCAGGAGAGTACCTGCTGAGTTACCATATAATGTCATTTAATTATGGCATTCTCATGATAACCTTCCCAGTGAAACCCATAAAAACACACGAGAGATTTCCTAGAGTGTGTTTTTTTTTTTTTTTAGTATGCACTCAGTTAAAATTATTTATTTATTTAATTAGAAAACCTAAATAAGGGACTAAGAAAAAGATTAATTATAATAAAGTAAAAATCAAAATCAACAAGCAACTATAAACCAGAGACACACTACAGGGGCGGGAGGAGGGGGTAGGATTTCCCAGAGTGGTTTTAAAGATTACGACAGTGTGCATTTCAGGATCTGCATGGCTTTATGATGAAATATGCCTTTCTAATGGTCATTCATGTTGCTTAATCCCTTTAATGCAATTTTCATTATCTCTTAAAAAGTGAAAAGAAGAAATACGAAATACATCCTTTTTTTTTTTTTTAACAGTGTGTAATTAAACTTGTGTATCATAGATGTGAGCAGGTTACAAAATCACATTGGATAAGTCAATTCTATTAGCAAAGGAGCAGTTTAATTTCCTTAGTAGGTTTTCCAGGTATTTTGTTTGCTTTTGCATTTGATTGCCCTATTCCTTTATGGAAAAAGGAAGAACATATACAGCTTTCTTTATAGTAGTAGTAATGAACTTACCACATCAAAAAAATGAATATTCTATTATGGGAGTAATTCCAAGACAGCCATCTATTGAATGGTGGCTATGTGTCAGGCACTATTCCAGATGTTCTGGATAAACCTTAAATAAAACAAAGCTTTCTACCCCACAATAGTTACAGGTGTAGTGCTAAAAAAATTGCCTGATATATATTTACCTGAAAAATAGTCCCTATGCTTGTTCATGGCATATTGATGAATTAAATAGAGAATTAGAAAAAACAAGAACTGAGTTTTGTCACATCCCCCCTTCTTTTGCTTGAACTTGACTATGTTTTACTAGGGTTTTATATTTTACCCTGTAATTATTTATGACTTACTCTGATTTCACTTTCTGAAAAGTAATCACTATGAGGACATGATATATAGACGTCTGATTAATCTTTGTATCCTTCAAACTGACATTCAATTAATATTAACTGACTGTATGATTAAATGAATAAATAAATACTTACTTAAATATAAATTCCTGGATCTTTTTGGACATGTTAGAAACTATAATTATTTATTTTGTTTTGATTTTGAATTTCTTGTCTTAATTCACCAATGTAGCATATGATAAAATATTCACCTGAGGCTTGTTTTTAATTAGGTCAATGAGTATTCTTTCAAAATTATTTTAGGAAACATAATTTATTACTCAATGTCTTTCATTTCACATTATGGTTTTCTTATTATACACAGAATATAAATTCCACAGGGACCAGGAATTTTGTCCCATTCAATGCTTCATCCCTAGAATTCTACAAAAGTATAAGGCATGTGGAAACACTCAGCACATACTTGTTGATTTAAATAGTAGAAAGCTATAAGTTATAATAAACTTCTCTAATAAATAGGGTATTGGTGACAACAAAAGTTTTTTTTAATTAAGTTATAACATATAAACAATAAGGTCCAACATTCTTGAATATACAGCTTGATAAAATTGCATGCATATGGTTGTGTTCCTATCAAAACATCACCTTGGTCAAAATATAGAGTATTTTCAATATAATGAAACTCAAATGTTGCTTTCTAGTCAACATCCTTCTAAGATTTCATGCCATTCTACTTTCTGATTTCTAACACCATGTATTCTTGTTGTTTGTTTTTGAGCTTATAAAAATGAAACCATAGCTTTTATTGTAGGCTGACTTTGTTTACTGTTTTTTTTTTTTTTTTTGAGATTCACTCATTTTGTTGCATGTAGCATTTTGTTTTTCTTGCTTCATACTATCACAATATACTGTATGATTATCCTATTTTCATACATTCTACAGATGGATAGCATTCGGATTGTTTCCCGACTGGGTCTATTAGAACAAAGCTGGTATGAAAGTTCTTGTGTATATTTTTCAGGCAGAGAAGCGCAATTTGTCATATACCTAGGAGTTGAAATACTGGCTGTGAGCGGAAACCCTATGCAGTTACATACATGATAAATAGACACAAAGTTTTCCAAAATGAGTGTACCAACTATAGGACAGACTCACTGCTAATTTAACAAAGTTCCAGTTGCAACACATCCTTGCTAACATTTGGCATTTTCAATCGTTTAAATAAATTTTAGTCATTTTTTTAGGTATAGCATGTTTTTAATTTGCTTTCCCCTAAGGACAAGTAATACTTAGTAATGTTCCAAATGTTTGGTGGCATATGAATGTCTTTTGTTGTGAGTAATCAAAGTTTATTTTAATTCACATAGATCAGTTTCTCCCCAACTCATCTCTCAAGTGCTCACTCTTTTTTATTTCAACTTCAATTTCACATTAATATTATCAAAACATTAAGATACTTATTTTCTCTACTGCCAAAATAATGGAAAATTTCTCATACATCTGACAACCTTCATATCATCACAACTCTACAAATGCTGTGTTGGTGCAAGAGCATTTTCCTGAACCACCTTCATGGAGTCTTGGACATTTCAGTCCAGTCTCCAGGAGAGGTAAAAAAGCAGGAAAATTAATAAATGATCTCTATAGTCCTCTTCTTAAAAAGAGGAAAGATTAAAGACAGGGTGAAAATAACAATGATATGTGTGATCGAAAGCACTGAACCAACTGACATCTTCACAAAGAAGACAAATTTAATATCCATATTGAGTATTATTCTCAAAAGCACTGGAAACTAAAATTGGTATAAGCTTAAAAATATACCATTCTCTAAGTCATATAATTTCACAACTTCTAAAAATTACAGTTCTCTAAAAGGAAATTTTGGAAATGATATCTTAATATTAAGTGATAGTCACTTTGAAACATGGAAAACCTCTTCTAGTTTATATTTTCTAAGTTGCAATATTTACATGTCACATTATCTTTCACTAATCTTACTATAATCACTGTTGACCAATTATATAATATAATTTGATATTGGATGAAAAAGAAGGTAACTTAATTATGTTTTGTTTTAGGTACTGTGTTAATTGTCATGTTAAGCTTCAAATGACACGTTAAGTATATACATGGCATTTAACTAATTTTCAGAAGATAAGAATACATAAGGGAAAAATGCATTGTTCTTTTTGCAACTATAGAATTTCAGAAGCATTAAGACAATTTTTGGTATTAGGAATTTAAAGTCAATATAATAAAATCCCTAAGGACCTTATAACAATGGGTTTTATGCCTTTTGTCTGTTTTCTATAATTTTTTTTTTGTCATCGATAGTACAGTGGCTATTCTTGTCTTACAGTGTCAGGAAAGAAGGAATATTTTTTTTCTAAAGTATTTTTTTGTTATAAATTGCTCCTCCTGTCTCCTCACTATCATTTATTATTCATCACTATTATTTAGAGATACACATTCAATAAAATTGGATGTTGGTGGAAGCCACTAGAATCCACAGTTATCTGGCCTTTTCTTTTTTTGTCTTCTCAAAATGTTTCATGTCAATTCATGAGGCAGAGGGGCAGACTATAGTTCATGTTTTTTTCTTTTCAAAATGTCAAGCAATTTATCATTTACAATAGGTTCATTAAAGCCAATCAGAGGTGTTTGATCTGGAAACTCCCCTCACGTGGTAGAACATGATGCTGAGACACTCTACAGGGTAGATCAAGTTCCCACATTTGTACGTGAATCTCCATGCATACAGGCATTTGAATTCCTCCTGTATATATAATTCACAGATTGAAATAATTTATATATAATTATAGGCTTTTCACTTTAAGGAAATGATACAAGAAATTCATCACAGAATAATTCTGCCTCTTTCCATAGTAGCTGATGTGACCTGGTTCTACTGCTTACTGGCTTTTATGACCTCTTCCATTTTGGCTTTATCATCTGTAAAGTAGGGGGAAATTATAGTGTTGTGATGCTTACAATATTGCTAAGTGCTTAGAGCAGAACTTTGAACTAATGAATATTCAATAAATATTAGTGAAATAAGTAAGAAGTATATCATATATTTTGCCCATGAAATTGGATCCCTTTGCTTTTGAACACAGGACAAGATGTCATGGAAACATAAAATTCATTCATAGAAATCCTTAATGACCTGTCCATGTTAACTAGCTCAAGAGACAGTGTTTGGAAACAAATGTGCAAAGTTACATTCTGCATTCAATATTAGATCTTATGCTCTACAACTCAATGGTTTGAAGAAGTGAGTCACTGCAAACTAATGATATAATAGGTGGAGAAATTTGAATGAAAAACAATGTTTTTTCCCCAGAAAAAATAATTAAAGCAGTGCTAAATTAGACTTGACAGCTTATCAGGATAAAAATCTTTACAAGCATCTTAGCATAACCAGGTTCCATTGGGATAATTAATTCAGAGAAAAAATATTTGCATTTCATTTTTGTTTTTATTTAATTTTTATATGGCTCCAGAATAGATTTTAATGGAAAGAATTCTTCTGACAAGTTATCTGATGCTTTCTGTAACTGAGATGCATTTTGAAACTGTCATATACTAAATCAGCCACGCAAAAGGGAAGTCTTAAATGTAAGTCCACACAAACAAACATTTGTACAGATTTGGCAGAACTGTCCAATTAATTAAATAAAATACAAAGATACATACAACACCATCCCTCAAACTAAGGCACATGTAGTATAATGATAACAAGATAATCAAATTGACATAGATAACATTTATTGAACACTTAAAAATATGCCTTGTTTATGTTTAGGTGCTTACATGGGTTAGCCCATAAAATTCTCATAATATCTCTCTTTTATAACACCCAGAAAATCAAGGCAAAGAGGGTTTGGTGACTGAGGATGGGGAGGTAGATGACTATTAAGTGTGATTAATATATTCTTATGTGATGCCTGACCTTATCATGGACAGCTTCAGAAGAGAGAAGACATGAGTTTGAAGTGTAGAGAAAGGGACTGGTTAATAAGGGTGTGAAATCCAAGCATGCGTGATTCTTTGTTGAAAATTAAAAGATGAGTTGATCATAAACATGAATGCAGTTGAGGTCAGGGAGGCCACTCAGAGGGGGGCATGACGTTCTTGCCTTCTGCTATCAAATGCATCTGATGGAGGGTAGTGTAGCGGGTGGCCTTTGCACAATGATGCTTGTTGGGCTGGGGTCATGAAATCCTTTTAATGACAGGCATCTTCTAAGTCCTAAATGTTGCAACACTTCCAAATGATACTTCTTGGATTAATGAGTAATAATCTATCTTTCTCACTTATGACATTTAAAACCAAAGTGAAGAATAAGGCCACAGTTTTCAGTTCAGAGTGTGAATGAAATCTACATAAATTATGTAAAATATTCATTTTCATTTGTTTTCCTTTTATTTTTATAATTATAAGTTGTGAAGTAATTTATTCTGCCAATAAATATTCTACTCTTTCTTCAATAGCAGAATCAGATGGATGGGCATAAGAATTACATTAAAAATGATACTAAAGTGGTGTTACATATAAAATACTTTTTGAAGTTGAAATTGCAAATACGCTTTTCTTCTGTGTCTTCCATGCACTGTCCACAATAACATGCATGCCATTGTGCTGATATTGTGTGGAATATCCACCCAGATACTTTGTCAGATTAAAGAATGATGAATTGGTCAAGGAATCATAAGCTAAAGTCATTTTTCTTTGATTGAAAAGATAAATTATAGAATTAAATACACCAACATGGAAACCATTGCTTACAAAGATAACTTGCCATCTTTTTAATATTCATAGACCTCATGTTTGCATTTCTGCACCTGCCTGAATTTTCAATGGCCCCATATCATGTAACCTGCTGTATTTTCACTCTCCATTAAATTTCCCAACATTTCTGTCATTCAGTTCTTAGCTCTCTAGTTTCCCCTGCCACTGATTTTTCAAATTCATCATCTTCATTAAGGTTTCTTCCTCTCTCTTGTGATATTTAAAAGAATAAGTCTAATCTTTCATTTTTTAGGCAAGGTACAACTAAAGCACATATTTTCATATTTAGTTTTAATACATTTTTGAGTGATGTGTTTGGCCTAAAACCTTATGACATATTTTCAAATTAGAATGTATGTGTAGGAAGACTATCCATCATTTACACTTTATTCTTTTAGAATGAGAAATAAAAACATACCAATACAAATTAGTTCATACACCTGCACAAATGTGTTTATAGAAATAAATATAAATACAAACAATTAATTTGAGCTCCCAGGCAGTAGTTTCACCTGGAAGATTACTTATTAAGACTTTCTGACTCAGAGTATATATCTTTTAAAAGACAGTTTAAATGTGACCATCTTAGCAAATAATAGTTGAGTGAATTAGCCAAGTTTCTAATTTATGCTAATATATATTCTATAAACTTTTATTTAGGAAGCCTGGAAACTATAGTCTACTCCATATATACACTCTTATTTCATTATTATAACAAGTACGTGAGCCAAATTTCACTGTCTATAACTTACCATCAGAAAGTGTAACCACTGTTATATCGTCAGTAGACACTCCCGGCCCATAGCGATTATAAGCTAAGAATCGAAGAGTATATTCCGTGAATTTTTTCAGGCCTTCCAGTTTATAAGACAGTCCATCAACTTCTATATTCTGGAGACATAAAATGCCAGAGTGTTATTCGGGAGGCACATTAAAGCAGAAACGACAGCCATTCTGTGCAATCAGTGAACAGGATATTAGACTCTTACCCGCAAAAATACACTTTAGTCTTATAATGACTTGTTGTAAAATCTAACATGTGACACCCACTCCCTCACTAAAGCCCAAACCATCCTGTAGACTCCTAGTTAAAATAGCACTGCACTATTTTTATAGTCATTAAGTTCCAATTTGCTTAACACATGCAGTGCATTGAATGGTGTGTGGCAAGCCGCCCACACCGAAACCCTGATAGGCAGGAGGCAGCTTGTAAATCCCCGGGAAGAGAGGGGCCCCTAAAGGGACTATTTTTCCAGGGAAAAATAGATTTCTTGCCTCCGTTGCTAAAATAAATCCACAACTCTAGAAAGGAACAGGGACTTTGCCACAATTTTTATCTCTCATAATACTGTGAGATAGGTTGAAACTGCTTTCAGCAACTTCACAGTTGCAGAAATGAGGTATTGGAGGTGAAGGCCACGGAGAAATCAGAGCCAGTTCACTCTACAAGACCCATTATTTAGCGCTTCACAATGGTCCTCGCATTCACATCTATCTTGGGTAACAGGGCTTTGAATTTATTTAAATATATTGGTAAAATACATTATTGAAGAGTTAAAAGTGTAGAAAAGTAGACAGAAGAGAAAGGTGAAAATTATAAGTTAAATAGCAGGGGGACAGGATGCAAGACTAGAATGAATGATTACATAGGCAGTACTCCCAGTGATTCTTATCACCATGTCACTTGGGGCTTGAACTATTTCTGAATAGACAATTGCAAAACAATTTTGAAAGACAAAAGAAAAGAAAAACCTCTATGCTGCTGTTGAAGCATGAAGACCACGTGACACTTGGCAAACTTTACACCACATGCTAAGAACCCAGTTACCTCAAGGTCCCCTCTAAGTCTATCCTATTTAACCTATTTATACATATGCATGTCTACACATATTTTTCTACATGAAGTTGGAAATCTGGAAGCAAATATTTTGATAGTAATATATGTCACAAAATAGGATTATTAAGTTTAATATGTCTCCCAAAGACTTATTTACCTACACTTTACCTAAACATCTAATTTGCCTTCTTTAGATGTCAGCATTCACCACAGATTATAGGCAAAATGTAAGAAGGAGGAAGGCAGACTTTTGGAGTGAGGGAAACTGAAAACAACCAAAAATGTGATAGATGACACCCCAGTGATGGGGAGCAATAGAAATGGCGTCAGAATGAAAAAAAAAAAAGTTTTGAGATAATTGAACATAAGCTTAATTGATCCTGAGGATAAGGGCTAAAAATGTCAATGACTTTGGGACCAGATGAGTTAATATAAAGGTGTTCGCACTACCCCAGGCTATTTATCCACTTAAGCAAATAAACAAACAAAACTGGCATTCTTTACAATGACTTCCTCTCATTGCCTATTTACCTATCTGACCCATTTAATTGAATTGAATTGCCTAAAAGGTTCTGATAACAAGTGCTTTAAAACTAATCAGCTGTCATTAGTGAGACCATCCAGTATTTCTCTTTTTCTTTCTGGCTTATTTCGCTGAGCATGATCCCTTCCAGCTCCATCCATGTTGCTGCAAATTGCATGTGTTTATCTTTTTTGAATGCTGAGTAATATTCTATGGTGTATATGGATCACATCTTCTTGATCCAGTCATCTATTTTTGGGCATTTGGGTTGTTTCCAAAGCTTAGCTATTGTAAACAGTGCTGCTATAAACATAGGGGTTCAGGAATCTAGAAAACTTAAATAAGGGACCAGGAAAAAGAATAACTATAAGAAAGTAAAAATCAAAATCAACAAACAACTATGAACCAGAGACACTCTATGGGGGGTGGGGGGCAGAGAGGGGAGGGATTGGGGTCAAAATAAGGGGGTCACAATTGTATGGGGAATATAAAAATAAAAAAAATATTAAAAAAATAAAAATATGCTTGCAACTGAGGTTGCTTGCTATGCATGGAAAAAAAAAAAAACTAATCAGCTGCCTAATTAATGTGCTGGACACTGAGCTGCAACTAGAACTGGCAGAGCTTCTATTTCACTCACAGCCATCTAGTAGGTAGCAATGGGGTATGGTGGGGGGATCCATCCCTTTACCTACCTGTTCCTTTCCAGTGGACACTTCAGTGCAGAACAATCTGTAACCTTGAACTGGTCCATTTGCATAGGCAGGGGCTTCCCACGTAATAAGAATTGAGGTAGGTGAGGTAGACACAGCTTGCAGGTTTTCTACTGGCCCTGGAACTTGCACTGTAATATACAAGAGAAATCCATCAGAACAATAGGGTTCTCTTCCTCCACACAAACAAAATTGCATCTTTTATAGTTCAAGGAAATTATAGCAGCATTTTATGATATTTAGAACCATATAGAATAATAATATAAAACATAAAATACAAATATAAGTTATGATATTTTAGAATCATTTTATTTTAAAATTCAGGAGATACTATACTGATATTAATTATTTCCATTTACAGTTGAGTAAACTGGTTAAGGCATATAAGTGACTAAGAACAATATAAAAAAATGTGGCATTTTTGGTCCAAATTCCTAGTACAAAACGTTTCTAATATGCCACTATAACTTTGCTTGTGTATTGCTAATAACTGCAGAAACAAAAGAGAAAATATAATTAGAATACTTGTACATTATGGTTATATTTATAATTCAAATAGGCAGTACAGCTATGGATTAATTTACCACACTGTCTTATTTAAGTCAGCATTTTAAAGTCTTGATCAATTGTTGGTCCTTTAAATTAATTTTAAGATTTAATTTTTAATTTTACTTTCTAGTATACCATTTTCTCTCATAACTATTACTTTACTTAATCAAGGATAAGTAGCTTGCTCATCAAAGAAATTAGGTAGCACAGGTCCGTAACTGTTTAACAAAACACTCATGTTTAAAGATCCTGAAACTCTCAGATTTTAGAAAGACAGCATGGTATATATGCCATGCTTTATGCAATACTCTTAGTGGGGTCTGCGACAACACCTTATTATCAAATCATACATTTGCTGAAAACATATGATTTTACATCAACATATGATATTTAACTTAGCTTTAGGTCAGCTCAGGTTTGGATGTGAAAACAAACCCTTCATTTTCCAGATTTGCAAATTTTAAATTTGTGTATAATTTTTTATGTGTGCATACTGACTAGAATATAAATATATGGTTTAAATGGTAAATGCAATAGCAATGTTAGCTATTGTAATTTAAAATAAAATAAAAAATCTTGCCATTGCCAACTTAATGCTGTGTATTTTCCCCAACCTCAGAAACCAACTAGCATTGGCTAGATATACATTTAAGGCTTCTGATATGATTCTGTGAGTTTGAACTTCCATAGAAAACAGAATATATATGAAAACCTAACTGACATATTTGATGATGTACTCCTAGTGATGACCCTGTGTCTCAAAATAATTTTTCAGAATTGTTCCATAGAACCCAGTCTCTTTATTTTTTTTAAGATTGATTTATTTGTTTGTTTGTTTGTTTGTTTATTTATTTATACAAGCACTGGGTACAGTCACAAGCGTGGGAGGGTGAGAGAATTCACCAAAGCCAGAGGGGAGAGCAGAGCAGGCAGACTGACAAAGTACACTGCTGAGGGGAGCAGTGGGTGTGGCAGGAGAGGTCTGCACGCCATATGGGACCCTTGCCAGGTGGCTGGGGTTCAAACTGGCACTGCAGAGGCTGCAGGTAGCTTTGCAGCCCAGTGCTCAACCGCTGCATCACCAGGGAGGCCCAGAACCCAGTCTCTTTAAAGCAGGTTTTCTTGCACTGTTCATATATTTGTTTGAAAATAAAAACATTCATATTAGCAATATATATTTTATGTTGCCTTCACATATTTTCCATTAATTCCCAAACATTGACAATACTTGCTACTGACAATTGCATTCTTTTTATTGATTATTAGCAATGCCTTAAAAACTTATTTGGAAATTATTTAAAACCTACAGAACATCTTAAGAGTAAGAATGATACATAAGGGCCTCCTTGGTGGCGCAAGGGGTTAAGACACAACCTATGAAACTGTCCAGCAACTCTGCAGCATGAGCTTGATTCCTGCTGGCCAGGAATTCACCCCCCACACAAACACACACACCCCTCTGGTCTTTTTCCCAGCTCTTGTGTGCATAAGTAAATAAATCTTAAAAAAAAAAGATACATAAAAAACACTCATACTCCCTTTATCCAGTTTTACAAACTATCTATATATTTTCTCTCCTTCCTCTTTCCCTTTCTCTCCTCTCTCTTTTCCTCTCTTTTCTTACTCTCTCACTTTCTCATATCTATACCTATTCAGATTTAGTTGTAAACATTATGGACCTTTGCCCCTGAACACTTTAGTACATTCTAAGAATTAGTGTGAATAATATCACTATTAACTTCAGTGGCTTAAAAAATCGTTCAAAACATTCCTATATTTTATTAACCTTCATTTTATCTATATTACATGCATATTCTCATTATATCAGCCTCACCTAATAGTTTCACTTACGTAGCATTCCCCTCTTCAATTCAGAATCCAGTCTAGAATCAAGGTTGCCTTTTCTTGTTATATCTCCCTACTTAGTAAGCTTTAAACTGAAGCAATTCCAAAGGCTGTTTATCTTTTAAGTCCTTTATACTTTGGTAGAATATAGTATTTTTTTATTAATAGAAAGTTCCTCATTTGGTTTTGTGTTGGTTTTTTCATGTTAGATTTAGGTTATGGGCTCCAGGTTAATATAAGACCTGAGTAATGGCTATTCTTTGCACATCAAATAAAGAGGCATGAGATCATTCTTCATTCTCATTTGTTAAGATGTTCTGTAGGTTTTAAATGATTTCTAAATAAGTTTTTAAGGCATTGCTAATAACTGATAAAAAGAACGCAATTGTCAAGGTGCTGTCAGAGTTCTCCATTATACAGTTAATCAGTCCCTCTGCTTCCCTCCACCTTCAATTCCCACCCCCAGTCCAGTCCCCTGGTGCACAGCTTGTAACTGTGTGGTCAGTCTGCGGGAGATATTAGGACCATATAAATATTAAGCTCCTTTTCAAAATCTCTTGGAGTTAGTCTATTAATAATAGATCCTGATGGAACCAGTTTTTACTATGGTGGTTACAAAATGGTGATTTTTTTTTTTTCTACTCAAGATTTCCTCCACATTACCTACTTGGAACTCACCATGCTATTATAAGCAAAAGCTTGTATTTCTTTCTATTTATGTATCTATTATCAGTATGGACACATGGATTCCTACCTTTTAAATGGTCCACAATTCCTGATCACCCTTCATTACTTTAATGTATAAATTGTCCCAGATTTGCCCAGTGGGATCCCCTTTAATCTGTTTCCTCTGTGGTTATGACATGTACCATCATTTATTGGAGCATTCCCTTTCTTTCTGGCACAATATAGTTTAGGTTCAATTTGGTTCTGTCCCAGCTCTGGAATCAAATCAAATATTTCTACAAATATCTCTGGCAACATTCAGTGGAGTGTGGTATTCCAGACAAAGATGTACATGTTGAATGTGTACATCACTGGCTGGGTCTTTGCTCTTATGTATTTCCCTCATTCCTCTTTTGTGTCCTTTATTCCACATACTCAGGCTCTTAAGGAGATGTATTCTGTCACCATCTCAATATTCCTGCAAGAGGAGGTTATTTTTCTATGGAAAATACCCTGCCCCACAGAGCCTTAAATAGGCAATATTGAACAATAAGGAGTCTCACCTGTGTCAAAGTTTATAGTGGCACAATTATAATTATATTTCAATGAATAAGAATTTTCAATGAATAAGAATTTAAAAATAATTCACATGATTTTATAATTACTGATGTAGTTCACAAAGACAATGCAAACATTTTTTAAGAGAGGGAAGTTCTAATTTGTAATCTATTATTCTTCAAAGGACAGAGGACACGACAACAGCAAGAGAATTGAGTCTGAGTGAACTGCTTAAGACATATATTGAAGGTGAGGTAACCAGGATTTTTCAGGTTCACACAGGGCATATCTATGCAGCTCTGTGATGTGTCAAGTAGTAACTAAATGTATTCCTTCTTGCTCACCTGTGACTAAAATGAAAGGGCATTGCTTACGAAGAACATGGTTTATTCTGGAAGCAAAGACTCAGATTTAAAAATGATCAAACTCAAAGGCCATCACTCCTGATATGAGAGAGAATATATTCAAGGAAAGTTTCCCTGGGCAGAACCACTCTAGCGATTCTGGAAAAAAAGTGTTGCTGTCAGGGGAAAAGGAAGAGAAGTCAGTATCCAAGGATTTTCTGTTCATTCATTTCACTGGAGCACAATGGGGTGATGAGAAACAATTCAGATGGTCTTCAGTTTTTGAGGAATAAAGAAGAAAATGAGCTTTCACCTCATTTCAACCACTCATTGTCAGTGACGACTTTTCAGAGGAATCAGGAGGGAGGGAATGCCCACATCACTCTGAGAGTATCCCAAGGTCTCTCAGTGTGGACCGAAAGAGAGATAGCCAGCTAGACCCCCCAGAGTGTGGAATCTGAGAATCTGGAAGGACAACTCAGAGGACTGCTTAGGATACAGGGGTGAGGCTGACGATGACTCTGTGAGAGTGGCAATCACATATGCCAATTGCATAGCCACTTCAGTCAGGTGTTCTGGGGAGAAGAGATGACAGGATATCTGTAGCTCAAGGCAGCACTGCCAAAAAATAAACAGCTGGTCACATCCCTCTCTGTCGACTCCTGCCATAGCTTCTTAGTGTCCTGACACTGCCAGGAAAATGGCTAAAACCCTCCACATAGTTTCCCAAATAATAGGAGTAGCCCACTAGATATATATATAATTAATAAATGTGTATCAAACAAGTGACTTTATACACAGCTGCCAAATGTTACAATAAAATCACAGGCCTAAAATACACTGCATAATATAATTCACTTGATATTGTTAATTCAGCATTGTCATTATGAGTGCTCAGAAAATACTTGTTTTCTAATGCAACCGATGAGAATAAAGTTGGTGTATATATGTACATGTTAGTTATATGCATGCAAGTTAATGTATACCTTGCCTACCATATAGTTTCCTCATGTGCATATTAGTTTAGTTGCCTGTGGGAGGCAGTAATGACTGCAGTTTGGATTCAGTCTATACTGGAGTGCCAACCCTGATTGTCTGTTCACCAGTGAATTGTTCTCCCTTCCTATTGGTTATTAGATCCTATCAGAAAAAAAGGATTCCAGAAGAAT